CTATGGTGGTATCACACAGCCTTTCCCTATGGACTCAGTACTTTACGAAGTTGGCCACTACTGATTTCTAACTGCATTTTAGGAGGGCTCTGAAATTCTGGTCGTTATAAAGGCAATCAGAACGAGTAATTCTGAGTTGTCTAAGGAGCATTGCAATAATGAAATGCTGCTCATCACTTTCTGAAGGTAATTTTTTGAGAGGCCACCTGTGGGATTCTGTGAAACCCTTAGGTAACTCGCTTCTAGTAGCCAGCAGCTGAAACATCCAAAAGACTCAGCTCTTGAGGACACCTTGTTGTAGCTGAGACATAAATACAGCTATGTAACATTTGCCTTTCCTGAATCACTGCACTGACACGCTGTAGTCTACAGATTCTGACAACTTTTTACCCTTTCCCTCAGTGACTACTACTGTTGAGCACTGGCCATTTCGACTCAACAAGACAGAACACCTGAAGTTTTATGTGCTGATGCACAACTGTGGCTTGAAATCATACCAACGACTAGAAAGTACCCAACCAAGGGACACTGTGTTATACACCAGGCCGTACATTCAGGAGCTGCAGCAGCAGCAGCTGGACTCTAGAAGGAGTGACGGCATCTTCCTCTCCTATCGCTGGCACCTCGGTAAGGGTGAGTGTGGATCAGGAGAACATTTGATCTGTGTGACACGCCTGCTACACCCAACCTCTTTTGTGACAATGGCATGTGACTACCAGCATACGTGGCCACCCATGCAGACAGTGAGAAAATGCATACATGACCCACACATTTTCTTCTTCTCTGGGACAGAATTGGGCTGGGAGTGAGGTATTAATTGAGACTTGTTACTCTTGTCAGATGTTAGTGAAGTTCTTAATCACTCAAGACAGCCAGGAAACTCAGTACCTGAGTTGAGAAACTACATCCTTCCACAACGACCTGCTTTCTTGCAGACTTTCCTTCTCTGTTTGCAGAACTGCACTAGGGTAACACGGGGCGAGCATTTGGGGCTTGAAAGAGAGAGCCACCTTGCTGTCTGCCATGACTTTCTTCAATTAAGGCAAGAGTAAGAGCCTCATAATCCTTCTGTCTAGAGTTAAATGGGCTGTGGAGACCAGAGTAGTGACTACACCAGAGCAGCAAACAGCTGACTTCATAGAGGACAAGTCTGTAAGAAAAATCTTGCAGTATGCAGACCATCCACGGGAGATCCACTCTGACCTTTTCTTCTATGCACAGCGTATCATACCTAGGCTGAACTTGACTTCTGGGACTGTCATTTGTTAGTGAAAACCGGCCATGGAAGTGCACCATTTCTCTGAGAATTACACAGGAATGAGATGATGAAGCTCTGGGTTGCCCTACCCACACCCAGCAGTTCTGACATCTATCACAAAGGCCAAGGCCAAAAGCTTTTTCTTTGCCCACAAAGAAGGATGCTAAATCTACATTTCAATACAAAATGTACAACATTTACTCATCCCAAGGAAAGTAAAGTCTGATTATATGGCAGGGATTAAGAGTTTAGCAGCTTCGCTTTTTCCCTGCAGATGACATGAAAGGCAGTACTGCGTTCTCAAGGGAAATCCAGGCAGACACTAAAGCTGATTTACCTGTGTGTTATAATCCCAACACTTGGCAATGAGTTTTTAAAAGGCAACATTCCTTGGGACACGAGACCAGCCCACAACTTATCCGTCCTAGCACAGTCTACTTCTTCGTTCCTGAAGTCTCTGTGTATGGGATCTCTGTTCACCAGAGACACCATAAATTTAACTGTTCAGCATGTCCTTTTGCTGCCACATTTTCTGTGCTCCAGAAGGGGATCAGAAATGCTAAACTTTATTTATTGCTCAGGATCAGAAAGGAAAAGAAATCCTAGTAACGGACACAAAGCCATGAGATTTATGAAAAGGAGGGCTTTTTGCAACCGTGCGGCAAATTCTGTATTTAAACAGATGACTCCCACCATGCAGAAGCAGAAATATAACATGCCTTTTGTTCAGAGGTTTACCATGTTTAATTATTCATTTTTTTCAGTAGCTTAACCATGTATTCAGATAAATAAAGTAATAAACGAAAGTGCTGAAAGTGAGGCAATATTCTCTTTATGTTATTTTTAAATTGTGATCAGGTATCTGTGGGACATGGAAAACTAAAAATCAAACAAAGCACATAATCTTCGCTTCTCTACTAACATTTAGTGCCAAATTCTGCTCTCAGGTAAATTTATATACATATCTTACGTCCATAAGGGCATTACAACCCAAGGGCGTATTTCCGGGTTTAAAAAGCGCAGGAGGTCAGGGGTCGTTCTCATGTCTTAAAGGCTCAGCACACGCCAGCTGGGGAGCTGGGGTCTGCCCCTAACACAGAACTGCCCCGCTGACCTGGCGCAAGCAGACACAGTGTCACTTCACTCCAATAAGCTGATTTGATTTCCCCAGATTGTAATTTATTTATTTTTTTGCTTCACTTTGCCCACTTCAATGCCTGAGAGCACAATTTGGCTCCTTTCTCAGCGAAAAGGCAGCCAACCAAACACGACTTTCACCAGGCCTCAGCTCTTGGCCCCAGATTTCAACATACACTATTACAGCCATCAAAAGAACCATAGAAATCACTTATCATTTTACTGTTCCTTAACACATTTCACACGGTCCTGCAGTGAGCAGGATCACAGATGAACCTCAGAACATACAGAGAGCACAACTACTACACTGGACATGAAAAGGAAATTTTATTAAACATGTTTACATAACATGAGTTGGAAGTTCATTTAAAAGCACAGGGGGAGTGTTAAGACAAGTGGTCAAAATAGAAAGATACTATCGAATTATAACTAGTTGTTTTTTGGCCACTAAGACAGAACAGGACCTAGTAGTAGTGCACCAATGCTTGAGTTCTTCCTGCTCAGCAGGTCGAGCAGTAACCAATCTGCGCCCTACGGAAAGGTGGGCAGAGTAATTCCCACGTGTTGAGTAATAATAAATAGTTCACTTGGTGCAGGCAGTACGTCTATGGATTAAAACCTAGTGTGTACACAGTTTCTACGTGTGTTACAGCCCCACAGTAGGAATCTACACCAAAATAGTTATTAGAAGGAATTTGGTCCGTACTACATCACGTATTCCATAGGGTAAAAAATAAAGTCCATCTATAGACATTTAGCACCAGACTCACAGACCTAGCCTGGCTAAAACCTGCAAAATGCCTATAAGAAAAATGGATGGCTTAGATTTCTTGGTTACTTCAGTATAGTAATTACGAGCAAACTGTACAGGTACATGCAACATACAAGCTGGCCTACGTGGAACTAACATACATTATTAAATAACCTTTTTAATCTTTTTTTTTTTTTTTTACAAAACGTGCATGCAGCTTTGAACAGTTCCAAGTCATGCTGCTCTATTTGTGTGATCACAAAATTGAATGGCCTGTAAAAGGAGGGGAAACATATCAATGCACCTGCAGGAATCTGCAGTTGTTCGCACATTTACGGGATAATCACAAGGGATTTCAAGGCCAAGAAGAACTCAAAATGAATAAAAAGCAAAATTGAAATTTGACTTTTTTTTTCTCCAAAAAGTAAGATATCTTGCGTTAAAAAATCAAGCCTTGTGCTTGCATCGATCTCAAAGAAATGTAAACTAAAATTTGATAAAAACATTAGTAAGTGCAGAATATTTCAACTGGAATTTCCAGTGAAACACTGAACAACTCATACCATGCTCTATCCAGGGCAGACAGGTGCGTCTGAAGCGACACACATCAGAGAAGCCTGGGTACAGCTGAAAGTGTCATATGCTCAATCCATTCCTGGTCAACGTTTTGGGAAGTCAAATATACATTTATACACAGAAACGTAAATATTTCCTCTCCATTTCTAGGAGGAAAACTGCATTACCAGTAACATATTAAATGTCAAAATCAAGACTAAAGCTGCTTTGTACCAGTCCCCAGCAGTAGTTGCGGAATTCTTCAGAAATTCTTCCATGCAAAACATCATAAACGTAAAAGTTATTATATATAATGCAAACATATCTGCTTTTTACAAAGGAAAAGTGGCACTGTGATGATTATTTATATTTAAGAATATAACTTAGATTGGTCATTTGTTCTGGGTTCCCACGTGAGAGACTCGGAAGCACCAGAACTGGGAAACGATTTGAACTCGTTGGAATCGTAACTCTGGCTGTTGAACGCTTTAACGATGCTTACAGAGATACGCTTCAGCCCTTTTTAGTTTGGTTTGGTTTAGAAGTAAAGAAAGGGTCTCTGTTTGCGTTGGGAGGACTTCTACAAAACTCGCAGAATCACATGGCAAAAAACTAGGGGCAGTGACAAGTACAGAAAAACTGCTGAAACACCAGGAAGGTAACACTGCTTGAGGGCTCTGTCCAAATGTGAAAAATACAACATTGTTAACAGAGTGAGAGCTTCCAGTTTGCCTCATCTTTGACTTTAGTTCGAATCTAAAGGTCTCTCTCTCTCTCTCTGTGTTTGGTTTTGGTTTTTGGATCATTATAAGCATTGGTGATAGCCGCTCATAGACTGGCCGTACGTGATATACCTTTGTTCTGTCAATTTAAGCCATCTCTCGACAGACAGACATATTTTTGGATAACTACTACAAGCAAAAACAGAAGTGATTGTCTCTCTCCAACAGTGTTTTTTTGATCACGTGAATATCTGGTTCCAATTGTTATCCTGGGCGATGTTTTTATTAGACAGCACCTGCTACTACGATCTAATGCAGGGAGGCCCTGTTGAACTTTCCAGAGATGACTGGGAAGCCCTGCGTGTCAGGGGAGTCAAGGTTGGATCCACTAGCGATGAAGGTGGAAATAATTTATACCAGCCTATTACCACACTGGACAGATCCAGTTCCTCCAGAAGGATCTGGGCAACTCCCATGAAGCATTTGTGGTCCATTCGGCCGTAGTCTCCCCAAACTATTACCTGGAAGAACATAAAATACAGGTTCAACATTGTCCCCAAATCCACGCTTATAAGTCCAGTCCTGCTGTATCTCATTATGGGTAGTGTAAGGAAGATGTTAGTCTTGAGAGTGAATCATTGCTCCCTCTCGTGGGAAAACTTAACGTCAGGACAGGAACGAGAGTCAACAAAAGAGAAATGTTTAATACAGCCAGACATTTCCCAGGTTCTGCATCCACAAGCCACAAGGACGTGTCCGCTGGTATTTATAAAATTAAATGCTTTGTTGAGTCGGAAAGGGTTTACGCATATTGCTTAAACTTAAGTAAACACCCAAGTGCTTCTCCAAATGATAGCCTAAAATGGGATTAAGAAGCAACTGACCTGAAGGACTTTACCCTGTGGACTTTCATCAAAAACCAGTGTCTGTTGGTACAAAGGATCAAGGGTCTTCCTTGCAATTCTCGTCTTCTTCTTAGCTATACATGCTCCATTTTCCAACAAATACACTTTGACATATGGAGCTGCAAACAGAACATCAGGGATTTTATGTTTGGACTTAAAAACTTCTACACTGCACATCTGAGCTGGAGGACAAATGCCTTAAAAGGAAGGTGAGTGGGAAGAAAATGACACGTGCTATCCTCGCTGTATAATCTGAATACAATTATATTTATAAAAGAAGTGACACAGCCCATAAGAAATCAATTTGATTTTTATAAGCCCTGAATTTAATGATCTAAGATATTACTAACAACAATTCCGTTTCATGTCTGTCATTCTAAAAACACTTCCTTTTGCCAGGAATTAAGTGTCACTCATAGCTACTCTGGAGTCTGTGTATGTTTAGGGGTCAGAGATACTGCAAAACAAAAGACTTTGATGTTTCACTGAAACGAGTATTTAAAAATGTCACTCTGATAACACAGGCACTAATTGCTCTTTTGTCTTCAGCTTCCTAAGGAGGTCGTAAAGTACCATTTTGGTAAAATGTTACCTAAAACAACTGTTCCAGTTGTTACAGTAAGCTGTGGCTGTGATGGAGCTTATACATCTCTTCTAACAGAGATTTCTATAAATAACCAGAACTTCAAAAAATGTCCTTATAAAGCCATACAATATTAAATCTCAGTTGTTATACAAATTACAGACACTGGCACTGGCTTAACCTGCCGTCTTGAAGCACTGTTGTGCACGGAAGGCCATGGCATGTGGGTCTGGTAAGCTGCTTGTCCAAAGCCCTTTCACCTTTTCTCCACCTCTTGGTTTGATGTGGAAGAAACACAGAGGACTTCATCGACATGGACAAAGCCCCTCTGAGACACACTACTTGCCTGAGATATGCAGAAATACTTCTGCAAATGTTCCTTCCAGAACGGAGGTGGAGTTGCTGAAAATCATGCCTTGAAAGGTAGCAGGGAAGGTGGCAAGAAGTGGGCACTGGCAGCAAGGATATAACCATGCGCACGTCCCTTGTTGAAAACCAAACCATACAAATGCAAACGTACTAACAAGGAGCTCACAAAGCTTCCGATCGATCCCCAGTTCTTCAACATATTCCACACTCTTGTTTTCTTTTCACGTAATTTTTTTTCCTTACCTGGGGTAGATTTGGAGCCAGGTTTTTGTGTGAGGCCACGGGCTCTGATGACTTCTACTTCTAACTGGCCCTTTTTATCCACCATTCCGATCTGGATGTCACCTGAGAGGGAGAAGAAGGAAGCCCACATTATGGAGAAGCAGTACAGCCTGGGAGACAGGGGATAAGAGTGACAAACAGATATACCAGTTTGCTTTTAGTTTGCTGCATTAGTGTGCTTGTCACCTCTCCTCCTGATCCCTTTAATTTCTCTTTCCTTAAACCAGGACTAAAAGATAAATATTCAGGAAGCATAGTGCCCTCTCTTGGCTTACAGTTTATACCAGAGCTCAGTATTTCTGATCCAAGGATCCAGGTAAATTTACAGAAATTCTACAGTATAACAGCCACACCTTTGATTGATTTTGCACCAGTGAATTATCTAAAGGCTCCGTACCTAGGACTGTTGCCCCAGCGTGCCAGTCACCGACACGCACTGCCCTGACAGTGGTTTGACCCCCAGAGAGGCTTAAAACCCAAACTCATGCTCAGAAATCACCTTGGCTGGACGTTTCACCCTCCAAGCTGAGATGCAAGAGCTGGCAGTGCAAAGGCTCCTTGCCTGATGTGGCAGGAAGAACAACCGACGGTAGAGGCTGACTTTGAAACCCTCCATAAGTGCCTGACTGGATCCTCAGCATCACCAGACAAGGCACAGTCATAGCACAGCTTCGGAGAACAGTGCCCTGCTCTCCAGGCTGCACAAAAGAGGTCTTCTTCTGCCAAAGTCTCTAACAAGGACAGTGGGGACAATTTTCCTGTTTTTATCAACATTCCGGACCCATTTCTGGTGTGAATAAAGTGATGCAACATGTTAAATAAGAAGCTCCTTTCACTACTAAGCAGTCAAACTTGTTTCTCTGCCTGAGTTCTGACAAGTGACATGTCCTGCAGATAAAGGAAACTGTTCAGCCCAAGACCGAGCACTGTTCCAATCCAGATCAATAAAATGCAAGCCAGCTGTGTGCCGCTGCTTAAAGCACTCTATCTCTATTGTTCCACATACCGTGGAATCGGCTGGGTAGAAATCTGAGAGGGCACTCAGAGTAAAAACTGCGCAAGACGACACGGGCAGTTATGTAACACTTGTGCAATTAATTGACTGGACGTATATCCTGAAACACCTGCATATGGATACAACTGACAGGTAAACTCTGACCGTCTAAAAAACACACCCAAAACCAGACAGTCCTGAACTACAGAAACTGGGGTCCAGATTTACACAGAGAGCATTTTGCAGTTAACTGGGCGTCAGATTTTCAGATGCTTGTCTAACGGTATATTAAAGTAGTGTTTGTGCCTTGGTACTTGAGGTATGACAGAGCAGCAGGAAGACCAGTCTTTTCATCAATCAAACTTTGCTGGAATAAACAGAGCTCTGTGTTGCGCTAAAAATAGTCCGCAGGAAAATTCCAACAAGCCTTTTTAAGAGCACCCATCTCTGTATCGCCCATCCAAAATAAAACATGCGGCAGGGAACCAGAAGGGGGAGCGGTAATACAAACATTTTCAAATCCTCACTAGTGAAAGGATACAACACAGATGGTGGAAATGGTTAAAAAGAATGATTGAGTGGTTTTTTTGGGGGTCAAAACCTGAGCCTTTAGTAACTGAAGCAGTTCTAACAAGTGAAAGTAAACTTATTGCTCAAGTAACCAGCAGAAAAATATTTAGTCAGGAAGCAAGATTAAAATAAATAGATGGGAGAAATCTAGACCCCTATATTCATACCACTTAGACTTTTATTGAGCAAGTAATCTCACAAATATCTTTCAAAACAAACAAAGATTTAACAAGTTTGATGCTTGTTAATGCGATAGAAAAGTAGCAGCTATTTGGACTGAAACAGCAACCCTTGCCTTATGGGGTACTCAAAGTATTCTCAAGGAAGTGTCTGTCTCCTTCTGCTCATGAGCTGGGAGCGGAACACTCTTCTGCAATTTTTCTTTCTGGCTCTCTCTCCTTTTTCCGAAGCATCTCAGTAGCCCTTCCTGAAGCCGATTTTCCCAAGACAGCTGTACTGAAGTTATAATTTCCAGCAGGAGAAGTATGGTAGCAGCAGTAGATCAAAGAGGCCTCACTTAGCATCCTAAGCATGTCTAAGAATGGCTCATATACAAGCAAAAACTTATCAAACCTTTCCAGAGACACTCACAGAGTACCATGTGGCTGTACACCTCCTGCTCTCAAGATACAGCTAATGCCACTATAGGGAAATCCAGACTGGTTTGGAATAGAGGAGACCACAGATAGGCCCAGGCAGCTACTGTAGAAAAGGGTTTTGAATCTTTCGTGGCAAACACTGGCTTTATCACCAACTGATTACTGGGCATTGCAAACGTGGGCAGAAGTTTCACCTTCTGGGGTTACTTCAGGATGAACCATGCTGGGACAAGCACAGAGTTTGGCTGGAAACTGTCTGTCACATCCAATATCGTCTGTGGCAAGTAAAGACAAACTCTGAACAGCTGGGATTTTGCAGTGAGCTACAACTGGAGAAGCTACAATAATTCTGAATGGGAAGTAAAGTGCAACCTGTATCTTCAAACTTCAAATGAGATTAGTAGACACTTCACATTCGGAGCAAATACTGTTGCTCACCCCATTTCGGATGCCAGCATGCTAGAAATACCAGTGACTCCACATATCTTCATGTTTACAGTGAAGGAAGCCACATTCTAAAAGCCTTTTTGGTGATGTAGTCAGTGTCTGCATTAGTTAATTGGCTTATTATTCATTCAACAGAGGAGAACATATTATTCTTACCCATGGCAGGGGTTGCTAGCGTTTGTCGGCCTACTAACTGGGCAGGTCCAAGTCCATCGAGGAAATCACTAAACTGACTGTCAGCGCCCAGCCGTACTCCAGGAAATATTAAGCTGAAGGAAAATAAAAGCTGGTTAAGCATAGGAACAGGATTAATTTCTATTGTCCTGCAGGATTTACCTTGAAAGCACTACTTATACAATGCAAGCCGCTCAGGATGTACAACCACAAGCTGTTCTGAAGGAAGCAGAAATGAGCTGTCCCCAAAGAAGTGTAGTGAAATTCTGCACATGGACCCAAAGTAGTCCATAAACCAGTTCTTGCTAAGGAGTTCTCCAGGGGCAGCAAAGAGCCTGACAGGTGAAAAAACTATTAGTGACCTTGTATGAGAAAACATAAAAAGTCTCATGAAATTTAAGAGCCTATCATTCTTCATTCTTGAACGCTTGATTCACCATGTATTCATGTTTTATGTAGTGAAATTCTGCACATGGACCCAAAGTAGTCCATAAACCAGTTCTTGCTAAGGAGTTCTCCAGGGGCAGCAAAGAGCCTGACAGGTGAAAAAACTATTAGTGACCTTGTATGAGAAAACATAAAAAGTCTCATGAAATTTAAGAGCCTATCATTCTTCATTCTTGAACGCTTGATTCACCATGTATTCATGTTTTATATCTATACACACATCCAAACCCCATCCACATCAGTTAGAAGACACAGGGAAAACAGAGGTATACACTAAATTAATCTGACGGTTGCAGCTGTTTCATGAAGCAGTAAACTGGTGGGTAGCGCTGGTGTTGATTAGAGCTAAACCTGATGCCACTTGCTAGCCAAGATATTTGGGTAGCCACATTGGGATTTACAGCTGGTACCCAGCCCTCTTTCAGGACACAGACTGAACTGTAACACATCGGCACAGAGTACATGTGGTTTTCCAAGCTGCTTTCTTGCATTGCAGAATCTCCAATTTCTTTTAATAGATGTACATTCTCCAAACAAAACCAAAAGAAAAAAACAAAATAGAGAGCGAGAGTGAATGATCCGTGGTGGGGAGACTCAGCTTTGACTCCCTCATCACAATTATAAGGAACAGAAGAACAGACTTTGAACCCTGTCTAGATAGCATCTTACCCAACAGGCCATCCACCATTCTGTACCTGCTGCTCCCCCCAAGGAAATTCCCTATTAGACTGGAGAAAACATTCACAAAACTTCCTAATAAAAAGAGCTAGTGTGAAAAGCTTTGATTTCTACAGACCTAGTCACTCAATTCACACTGAAAATTCTCTGCAAACCTTCATTAGATGGATAGAAAAAGTACCCTCCCCTCTTCAAGACCAACTGATCTTACTATGCCTGCACAAATGTAGACTGCCTGCAACTAAAGCTGGCCAGAAAATATCAGCAGAGTGCTTTTCACTAGACAACTGATTTACCAAAACATAAGCTTTGCACAAAAGTTGAGTTTTAAATTACATTTGAGAAGGTTTCTTTAGATGGAGGAGGAAAAGAACCTCAAAGTCTCCAGTCTGACCACCAGCCCACCAGATACAGCATCCACCTAAACCTGACATGCAGGTTCAAGCCACCCACCCCACCTGACAAGACACACAGTCTGCTTTTCTCCCCAGTGGCACTACTCATTCACTCTTCCCCCTGCTATGAAAAGTTTCTTGATCCTTTCTTTGTACTTCTCCCCTAAAACGTCTGTTATATTTTGCTACGGAATGACTAACAGCACTGAGAATCTTCACTTGAGAGCCTTCTCACTTTTCAGTCACCTCTAACCATACAGATAATGAAGGGTGTGAATGACCCTATTCACCTTAATGTGCATTAAATTCTAATTCATTAAACTCAGGTTACGAGTCAAGCAGAACATCACATAATACCTGCATTATCTACTGCAGGACTCTGCATTCTCATCTGAGCTATGCATTGGGTTGGGCTTATGGAATGCAGGATGAGGCATGACATTGCCAATAAACTGTGTCATCCTGGAAATAAAGTCAGTATCATCATGTACACACACAAGGAGGGAAAAGTAGCCTGTGCAAAGTTAATGCAAACCCTTCCTAACTGTCATCATTAGGCACCTACAGTAATATCAAGAGTCAGCTGAAGACAAAATACGATTCAAGCAATCAAAGTCAAAATCTCGCTGATCTTGATGGGAATCTCACAGGAGAGAGGAAAAAAATACCACATAGCTTCGCTATTCAAATGTAGAGGAAGTCTGAATACAAGGTGCTATTAAAAACCAATTTATGTTCACACTAGAAATAACATCTGAAGTTAAAGGTGACATTTCCAACATATGAAAAAGGCCTAGAAGAAGGAGGTGGAGAAGGAGAGAATTTTAGGATCAGCTGGCACAGGGCATGTACCCCGATTATGTGATGCGGTTGTGCAGCTTCCCCTCCACCTTGCAGTTGCGTCCAACTCATGTTCTAAAAATGGGGCAGTGATGCACACAGGGGAAGTGATTATACAGCAGAAGATTGTTTAGTTGGTCACCTTTCTTACAAGAATCTCTGCATCTAGCATTCTTCATTCACTGTGAACTAAACCCAGAGCTGCTGTAAACTAACATAATCCTACCAAACCCAAGTAAATTCACAGAGCGTCTGAGGGTTTGAGCTAGAGATAAATCACAGAACCATAGGAAAACAGAAGATTACACAGCAGTTTTCTAAGCCACAAAGTACAGCACCACGATGAACAGAGCCTTCTGGTATCCCTTTTACCTATAGCACTGCATCCTGTTAAGGGAATCTTTCTCCTACTGCATTGCAGCAAGACATATTTAACTGTTTATCATCTACCTCCTTTGGCCCATTCTCCTGGCCTTCCCTTCAGAGTCACTTTTAGATATTGGTGGTGTTCCTACTTCACTGGCCTTATTGTTTCTTTATTCTTGCCAGGGACTGGAATAGGGGATGTGAAGATCAGGGACACTGCTTAAGGCTAAGGTCACGTGTGAAATGTGTTTGAAGTTGGGAAACAAAGTTGAGGTATAATGAGGATCAGAAATCAGCTGGAAGAGCTGGTAGTTCTATCAAACCAAAAGGCTGGGACATATATGTTACTTCACCTTGAAGGCTGACCTACTTTTAAATGGCAATTTTCAAACTAAGTCCCAGTACGCACACCCAGCCTGCTGCTATATGTCCCAGTAATAAGCAAGCACTCCCTTTACCTCCCAGGCTTGCTTTCTTCACTGCTTTGCTAAGAAGCCAGTTCTCAAGTCAACAATTTAAGGCTCTACCTTGCAGTTTCTCTCCCCCACATGCCCCAGCCTTGCCAAAGCTGTTTACACACTCTGAAGGTAGAGCAAAGGATTAGGCTGTTCCCCTGAAAAAGTCCTTGCTGTCAGTGCTGGGCTCCCACCTCTCCCATATTGCTAACCAGGGAAACAGGCTCCCACAGCTCCTCCTGAGCAGGGTCCAGTTCATTGGGCCCTTTGTCACCATGGTGAGTAACTGTTCCCTTACAGACTGACATTCCAACCTAGAGAGAGGAAGGAGGGTGACAGGATAAAGTGCTGAAGGCTAAAGGTAATTTCCTATCAAACAGTCATACTGGAAAAACTGCTGGGGTGTTTCACTTTTGTCCCTCATTCTTAGCTACCTGCTTAACTACTCTGGTTTTGAGTTATTCATAGAATCACAGGATGGTTTGAGTTGGAAAGGACCTTAAAGACCATCTAGTTCCAACCCCCCTGCCATGGGCAGGGACACCTTCCACTAGACCAGGTTGCTCCAAGCCTCATCCAGCCTGGCCTTGAACACTTCCAGGGATGGGGCATCCACAGCTTCTCTGGGCAACCTGTTCCAGCACCTCAACACCATCATTGTAATAAATGAGGGTGGTGAGATCACCTGATGGTGGAGAAACTGCACCTTTACCCAGGTCCTTGCCCCTGGCTCTTTATACCTTATACAATGTGCATCAGCAATGGTGGTAACACAGTAAGCACACAGGAAGTTGAAGCCAAAGAATTCCCAGTCTCTAATTTTTTTTGGGTCTATAGGGTGGATTTGCCTACCCCTCCACTTCCCCTTTTGTGGGGAGGCATCTCCTAAGAATCCCCTAGCAACCACTGTGCCTTGGCACACATGGCAGAGTTCCACTGAGAGCTGTGAGGAGGCTGGAGTGTATTCATGCACACTTTTGTGCCAAATCTGCCTTTCTTGTCCTTTCCCACCTACCGAGTCATTCAGCAGTGAATGAAAGCAGCTGCCCCATTCCCTGCAGTCGTCTGCCTGATCTCAGCTGATGGGGCAGCTGGGTTCTGGGATAACAATTCTCAATAAAAGACTTGGAGCAACTCCAAACCAAACTTTCTGTGTATATAGTATCACTGGACAGAGTTATGTATCACAGGGATTTACATACAACATCTGAAGTTTAACTCTGAGTTAATCCAAACTTAATGCAAAGAAAAAGTACTCCAATGTTTTCTTTTGAATAATGTAGTCTGAATTTAGTTGTTGATGAACAAAATGCCTCACTGGATGGCAAGAAAAATGTGAATCATTAAGAAGTCCACTCTCAATTTCAATTTTCAAGAAATTTAAATTATGTGCCTCAAATAGTTCAGATTTGCAAATGTTTGAAGTGGAAGAATCTCTACACCGAGCTATCCCCCTTCAGCCAGAGCTGGGTCCTCTGTTCACATCCCGGGTTTTCTTACAAAGACAGGGGACTGCTCCTACATCACTGATGTCTTTCATGCCACTTACTTGCCCTCGGAGCTGTAACTATTTATGCTGCCGTCAGTGGATTCCCGACTGGGCTGTCGAACCATACGACTTCTCATCTCTGCTGCCATTCCTGTCTCTGTGCTTCTCTGTATCGTGCTCTTTAGCTTCTTGTTGCCAGCCTCTGAAAGCAGAGAAAGAGAAGCTATAGTTAGAATAACAACTTAGAGCAAAGCCTTTCCTTGCAGTTTTCCTCCAGCAAGTGATCTGACTTGACCACTCATATTCAGCAATACAAAAAGACTATTCTCATCGAAGAAAGAATCTATCTTCTTCAGTGGCACGCTGGTGAAGACTTCTCTTTCAAAGGGCTGCAGCCTAGGGCAAACCTTTGGAAATCAGGTGTCATTAATAACCTTTATACAGTCAGAATGTACAGGATGGATGACTCTGACAGTGCCTGCTAACTGTACACTCGGTAGGGCGTCTCTAACCGCCTTGTTTGTTAGGTTGGGTGGCTACAAAGTAAGTTACAACTCTCACAGGAAAGAAAAGGGATAAAAATCCTTCATGCATTCAACAGAAAAATGTTAAGCACTAAAATACTTAGTATCAAAAATACAATAATGTGTTTTGACCCAGCAAAATCTTACTTTTCAATACAGAAATTCTTCTAAGTAAACAATAAACATTGCATAACTTCTCTTCTCAGCCCCTCCTAAGCAGAATTAACTCTTTGGAGAATCCATGTGGAAGATGATGGACGTCACAGAGTCTAGACTTGCAGCAGAACACTAGAGAGTGACGCAGATCTTGTGAAATTGTACAGAGACTTGATCCATTTGGAAAAACTTCCATCACCCATTCTCTCAAATGCGATTTGAGTTCCACCTGGAAGGTTCTGCATTACCCTTGAGCACAGAAAGCTTCCGGTCCTTTACATAGGTGGTTAGGGACTGAAGGTGCAACGGCCAATCTACGATGAATTCTGCTGCCATGTGGCCGAGATTACGCTTCTAAATGACGATACTCCTTCTTAAAGACCTTTAACTGAAATACTTCCACCAAAGCCTCTGTGTGATGTAATAGCGTGTGTTGACTTCAAACTCCGTGTCCTGTTTGTTTTCCTTTAGTTCAGCCTGTCGTTCAATGGGTAACATGACTTTCTCTCAGGAACTAATGGACTTGATCAAGTTTCACCTAACTGCGTGCAAATACATTCCCTCGCATCTTCCCCTTCATTTGCTCTCTGCAGTCTCTGCTTCCTTTCCACAGTCTGCTCAGGGGAAAACCAGGAATGTTTCATCTGAAATTTTCATCTGAAAATTTTCATCTGAAAACCAGGAATGTTTCTTCTACCTGCTGTAGAACCGATCTGAAAATTTTTTCACCTTCTTGTTTCCTATGGGCACGGTTGATGTTTGGAGCTGACAGATCTCGACCTCCCTTCACGTAAAAGCCACGGATTTGGTATCCCCTGCATGGCCTGCCCATTGCTCAGGGTGATTAAACGTGCTGGTGGGAATAGCTGGCCCTTGCTCTTTGGGGCTGCAGAGCTGGTGGAGGGCAGGGAGAGGGCAGCTCCCCCCTCCCCCGGGGTCATCAGAGCAACCTCTTTGGAGCTAGCAGACAGAGAGAAAACACGGCCAAAGCAAAAAATAAGTAATCTGTGTATTGGGCTGAGAAGAGAGGGTGGCATAGCAGAAGGGGCTGTGATTTCCCATTTAAGCCTTCTGGACCAGAGGCTGTTTATCTATGGCCGCCCAGAGGCACAGAAACAAACGCCTCTGAGCAGAAAAAAACAGCTACTTCCACAGAACCTTTACTCTCTTCTGAGGCCAACAGTTCTGAGGTTTTGCTTTGGGACATGCAACTCTTCTGAGTTCCTGGTCCTTGGTCAGCTGAAAACACATTACTCAGAGCTGCTACGTGTGAGGTAGACTAGGCTAGACAAGGTGCACCAGGCAGAGCAGGCTCCGCTCCTAGACTGTGCGGAAGGTATTTGCTGGAACTTCAGTGGCTCCATACGTAGAAAACCAAATGCTACATTTTGGACCTGAGCTTTATCTTTAATAATAGATGGTGTGCCCAGCATATCAATGCTGAAAGGTGAGCTGAGCATCAAAAATGAATTGAAAGGCAGCCCAGGAATTATGACCCACATGCAGAGCCCTACGCCAACGCAGGATTCTCACATTTTCAGTAGCTACGCATTTGCCACCCGTGTTGTCTTCTGCCTCTCTCTCACTGGGATCTGTCTGAAAGTGCCCCTCTGTTTCCATCTGCTCCTGCATGGTAGGTGAGGATTATGGGATTTACCCCCTGCCTTCTTTTCTGGAGCCAGCCAGATCAGGCAGCATGACTGGAAGGCTAAAATATGGTGGGCAGCTGAACAGGGTCGCCTGTGAGTATTCACGGCTCAGGAAATGGGAGTGATGAGACACTAAAGGTGTAGCCACAAGATCATCATGACCTTGGCACAAACTGGGAAAGAGATGTTGCTCTGGACCACCTGGACAACACGGTGGGTACTGAAACTTAGGGATTAGAGCCACGCTGTTGGAAAAAATAATAAAGAACATATTCATAGAAATAATCACTGGAAAAAAATACCCATGGACTAAATTACAGAAATGAGTATTTTAGCTTTGAGCCACGGTAGAAATTGAAAATAGCAAGTGATTTTTTTTTTCTGACAAAGTAATTTTATGGTATCATGGATAACATCCATGTTGCTGTTTGAACATAGTTCTTAGCTCCACAGATTTGAAATGCACAGACCATGAAGGAGGAATCCTCGTGCATGGTCATAAGCAAGTCCACAGACTTGTCTCACTGTGCTGCAAATACCAGATTGTCTTTTTCCGAATGCTTTTCAAGTCGTTGCTCTCTGTCTTGGTGTGCCAGATTCCACTTCTTCGCTTCCTCATCAACATGTTTTTTTGAAGGTTTTGATTAAAAAGAATTCTTTTGCCTCTTGTTGTAACTGCTGCTAATATCCAAAATGTTTCCTGGGAAAACCAGAGTCCTCTTGCATATTTAATTTTATAACTTCAGTCTTAATATTCTGCAGTACAATCAGAAATAGAACATACAAGCAACCCGAGACAGAACAGTAAAATTTATCAGTAGTTTTATGGCATAAAGGGAATTGATTTTGCCCAAGACTAAGAACCAAAACACAAGTTGCATAGGTTTTGGAAGTTTTAACCTTGGTCAGTTATGCATATCATATTTTTTTGGTCTACTTCTAGCACAAAAAGTACCAAGAACATTTTATCTTGTTGCCGTACCCCTGCAAACTTCTCGGCAAAACGCCACTCTGCAAGGGAGGGAGGCGGATGGCGTGAGGCTGAGTCAGGACCTGCTGCTATTTCTAGAGGCGCCCCGGCAATGTGAAGTCACGCTGGGGTACAGCTTCCAGTCCTGCCTTGACTGCACAACAACATACAGGATTCGAACAACCACCAGTGTTTCTCCTGCTCTTGATCAATTTGGGGTTTTTTAAAACTTGCATTGGCACCTTGTATTACTTCTAATCTAGCAGTTCTGCATATATCTTTGGAACCCCGCCTTTATACAAAGAGCACAATTTCATGGAATATTTACGTTCAATACCTACGCGATGATATATTGAGAAGATACTCTCTTCTTGTCTGGGTATCTATTGGAGAATGCTTGGTCGTGCTCCTGGTCTCCTTAGCTTGATATGTACAATTAAATTCTATAATGCGTTACGGCCATCTGCCTGCACTGTGTCAATTACACTGTATTCATCGTGCAGACTGAAGATAAACTGCCTCTATACTGAACACCATTTAGGGGCAAAATTTACTCCAAAATGGTCTGTATGCTTCTGTGTGCCGTGTCAATGGTGTAAGGTTTTCTGTGTGCAGAATTGCAGACTGATGTGCATAAATTGCATCTAAACACACAGTTTAACAGGTACAAGCTAGAGAAAGACTCTTACAGAGCAATTGTGATGAACATGTTTGCAGATTTAATAACTGAAGGAAAAGGATCATAAAGCAGCCCTCTACAGCCACAAAAGATACACAGCTTGTAAGCATTTTGCAATTCATCAACAGCCTTGTTGTAGCACCCCTGCTAAAACACATTGATAAGTATGTACAACATGCTATTTCAGTCAACCTCTTATAAATATAGCCTGTAGTGATTCCTTTATAGTCTCACAAGATACTGGTCCCTGATTTTGGTTTTCTCAGATGAAAGTAAATTAATGGAGATCCTGATCTAAGTAACGGTGAAGAGCAAAAAGCAAGGTTGTTAGATTATGTACTATCTTACATCTGCATAAAATAGCAATGTAATTGATGCGTCCTCAATTTCTGTACTTCCTAATCCCCTTCAGGTAGAGCAGTCAGGAGCAAAACATTATAGGCAAAAGAATTACATTAGTGAGAAAGGATCAGTGAGAGTATCTAGAGAATCAAGATGGCATACTAGAGATACCTCAAAGCTAGCTCTACGTTTCTCAAGGCATCCAATTCAGAGAGGACAACGCCAGGACAAACTGCCCAAAATGACTTGTATCCACGACTGCCCTTAGCAAAGGCATGACTGCGCACGGCATCACCACCAGCCTGGGATCCATGTGGCCTGGGGACCATCCTCTGCACTCCATGTGGTGCCTGGAGGAAGTTACTACATTTTGCTCTTGTTTCAGTATAGTAGGTCTGAAATAACGTGAGGGGCTGCGCCACGGTCTGCTGGAGTAAAGCTTTTACCCTGTGGTGCCAAGGTGTGCACATGCCACAGGGCAAGGCTAGGTAGGGGACAAGAATATGCAGGGAGACAAGCTTCGTGACTTAGTCAACAGGAGGGTGCTAGAGAACTCTGTAGGGCAGTAAAAGACAATCCTGCCACGGTCTTCGATGTACTGCCTACTGGGAGAGGCGTCTTGAGTGGGCACTGCCCAGAGTCGTATCTGAGGGCACCAAAAAAAGAAGCAAATTTACACAAACGCAGCAGCTGGGTATGTGGCATGGAAAATTCGTGACGGGTTCAAAAGAACACTTCGGAGAACAAAGCAAACACCACTGCTAAATCCACTAATGAAAGGGATAAGGAGAAGGGTACTAATACTCAGTGTCATTGCATGACTCAAGGGCAAATGATTCACGGTATCAAGCACGCTCATGCATCCAAAGAAAGCCTAAAAGG